ACTGTCTTCACATCTGTCCACTGAGATTCTATTGGACCCCCCCCCCCCCCAACACAAACACACCTTACCGCTGAGACACAAACCACCTACACTTACCTCCATCCTATCCGTCACCTAACATATTCCCACCAATCTGTGTCAGTGTCATTAGTTGTTGTCTTCACACATGTAGTTCAATACGTACCTATGCAATGGATATTTCGTCATCTGTTACCCTAATGACGGGCCAGGCCCGAAAATTTGGTATAATGTATTTTTTTAATTTATTCGCAGTGTAGGGACCGTTTTTGGAGTAGAGAAGTGAAAAATGAAAAAAATGAAAAAAATTTACCAAGCTAGTTGAACAAAAATTCAAAACATGATGTTATTGTTGGCTCCAACCTACAGTCCGCGAAGGCTGCATTGATGTAAAAATGATGATCGCGTACCATGATGCATATATGAAGCCCAACAGCCACAAAAGCAAGTGATGAACAACTTGATGAGTAGGCAGGAGATGGACGTTCTCAAATGGGACATTACCAGTCAGTAGATCAGATCAGGATTATTAAAATGTTGCTCTTATTGGGCCTAAGGGATTCTTTGAAGCATGGGAGTACTCCTGGCCACGCATGCCCTGAGTGTATATAGTACCAGCGTAGCTTCACTCAGTGGCTCAGTGGCTAGAGCATCCCCCTGTCCGCAAGCCAAGGTCATTGGTTTGCCCTTTGGAGTTCCTCCACTCTAGCATACTGATACTTTGTTTACCACGTCTTCTATTTCTTTCAGATCTTTCGAGGGTCAGCACCTGAGAAGCCTATCCGAAGGAGTGTTTCAAAAGTTAACAGGCCTACAACATTTGTAAGTATTTCTGTACAGGTCCATCCCTGTTAGTACAACATCTGTGCAGGTCAACCCTCGTTAGTACAACATCTGTACAGGTCAACCCTCGTTAGTACAACATCTGTGCACGTCCTCCCTCGTTAGTACAACAGCTGTACAGGTCCACCCTCGTTAGTACAACATCTGTACACCGTGCATCTTGCAATAGAATTCAGAAACTGCGCTCGGGACTTCACTAACTTTTGCATCGACGGTCGCACCAAAAATGGTTGGTGGCGCAAGGAGAAGCTTGTCGTTTGGAGTGACAAGTGATCACCGCTGGTTTTTCTTGTCAGAGTCAACAATACACTTTGTTCTGCAGCGTTGGGAGTAGTGTTGGAGTAGAAATAATTGCTGAGGAGACATCGCGGAGGGGCGAGCTTTCCTGCCCAGGTATGACTTTGGCCGTATTTCAGCATGGTCGAGTGGAAAAATTCAAAAAGGTTTATTTCAAGAAAACCTCCAAAGGAAGATGGGGGACATGTCCTCAGTGCTAGAAGAGGTGTTCTATCATTTGCCGGTGTATAGTTCTTGCCAATTGAGGACATAGCTGGCTGTTTTGCCAGCGCTTGTAAATTGGCTATTTTGAAGACGATCATTTGTGGCGTCAGGGGGTGATGGCCCTCGTCTTCTGGTATCCTGGGGTGGCTAAGGCCCCGGTGACACATGCACTTTTTTCGGCGATACCGCCAAATCATAACTTAAGTTAAGCTTTGGCGGAAGTTTGGATTTCGCTAGGCCAAAAAAATGCGAGCGGAATCTCCGCTTTCGAGGATACGCTTTGGCGGAACCTGCATGGTGATGGCTTTGGAGTTGGGTGTGCTACTTCTGCACTGAGTTCTGGTGTTGTTTGGTTGCCGTTTGATATTCAATTTTCATATTGCTCTTCTTTGCCAATGAATTGTACGTTCTGGAGATCTCGCAACCGATACTGCATCGTTATGAGTGGATAGTTGGTGAGGGAATCCGTCTCCCAACTCATTGGCCCCGATCGCGGACGATCTCCAACTCTCTCGTTCTCTCTCCAAGCAATGCGTCCACCAGAGCATGCAACACTAGGACTGCAACCAGGGAGTAGAAGAGTACTCTGCCACACCCTAACTGCAACTGCAGGCATCCATGCAGTCGCTGGGGTCGATGACGGATCATGGAGGAGGCAACGGCACCCTCCTGTACAACTATTGGAATTTGATATTGATGTAAACTACTGAGTAAACTAATATTCAAATACACCTGTACTGGTCGCGGTGACTACTGGGCCGCAGTGAATGTACCCCAAATCCACGAGTGTACTTGACAGGAGACATTCCGCAGCCTGTCAGCGATCCACGATAGCTCTACTTGTAACAAGCGAAGGTGCTTCAACTCGGACAAGAACATCTAAACTTTCATAGGACGTGCTGCATTTGCATTCCCACCGCCAAAGCGGTGCGTTGAGGAGCACAGTAGTCTACTTGGTCCGCCCAGTTAAAATTGGCGCTTATCTTCTTACTTGGTTTTTTGGTGTTCTGCCTGTGCCACACGGCATGGAACCACCGATTCACCATCCGAACATAACCATTGACCATTGCATCCGACGACATGGCAGTACAAACCATCACAGAAGTTGCGATCGGTTCGTTTGAGTCTTTTTGACGGAGCTGCCGCCGACGAACACTTCCGTCAGCGCAAGAAAACACTGCAACCTCCGCTCGAGTCCGTAAAATAGGTCAGGATGTTCGCATTTCAGAGCGATGGAGAATACAGTTTCTGTCTACTTCCAGCTGTCTGATGGCAAGGATTGTTTACCCCGGGGAGGTATAGAAAAGCTGAAAAAGCGCTTCGCGAGCTTGAATTTCAGTGCTTGCACAGTACAGCGCCTAGTGAAGGGCTATCACCAGCAAATCGCTGACGAAGAAACTGCAGCTCATGTCGATGTCTCCAGTAAGTGAGACCAATCCGGCGGACACACTTTGAAGCTCACAGAGGACAGGGCAAAGGAGCTAATCAAAGGAAACACCAAGTCCTGAGAGAAACACTCGTGCAAAGGACTTTCAGGAAACTAGCCGAAAAGCCTGGTGCACGGCGTTGTAGGTGCAGTAGGCACAGGTGCTACATCAAGCGGAAGCTATCACTGCGCTGCATGTACAAGCACCAGCGGCTCGCGCGTGGGTACGGGTGCTGATCTGCAAGTACGACAAGCGCAAGAGGCGATTTGAAAAAAAGGATGATATGGCGTTGCCTTTTTGTCTCAAACAAAGTCGCATTATTGCGACGAACGGGGATAACACTTACAGTCAACATGCCGGCAGTCTCACTCAGCTTCTGATGGGAAGGTGACAGGCACGCACTGCCTTTGAGCGTGATTCGAGACGAGGAGAAGTGGAACAAGCTATGAAACGACCCGTGCAGCAGCTGTCCGGATCGTACGTTTTGAGCTCTTCCTCCAGCGACGATAGTGGCGAGGAGGATGTGTAACTTGCTTGAATTTTCGACTGAGTTGCTTACTTACATGTAAATAATCATGTATAGTGCTTTGTGATCGTGGCTTGCTTCAAATATTCGTATTTCTTTCCTGAGACAAGTGTGAAGATAAGCGCCAATTTTAACTGGGCGGACCAAGTACATGTATGTGTGACCGCTGCATCGTGTGTTCCGCGAAAGCGGCTGCGGTAGTTACGCTTTTCGCCTCCGCAAAAGCCGTGCAAGCTTTTCATGTGTGACCATGGCCTAGGCGGTACTGCTCCAGGATATCTTCTAAGGTGAGGCAATGTTGGATTGATGGAGTTTTGTTCGTAGCTTGTTCATATACGCTGCGGCGTGACTCGTTTGTAGACCCATAAATAGTGTGATATTTTGGCCATTTTTGAGGGGTATGGAAGTTTCAAGGTTCCCTTTTAGAAACTTTTTTAAGGGCTCTGCACTATCGATCTACACCCCAAGGGGAACATACCTGCAAATTTTGAGCGAAATCGGAGAGATCCACTTGCCCACTTTTAACACTCACAAAAGCCCTGGTTCGGACCTCCTACCAACCCGTCTCCTCAAAGAAGCTGCACCAGAAATTTCAGAATCACTGGCTGCCCTCCTGAACTTGTCCTTTGCAACCGGAGAAATTCCCACAAGACTGGAAAGATGCCACAATCTCCCCCATTCTCCAGTCAGGAGACCTCTCCCAGCCAACAAATCACTTTCTGCTCAGCATCACCTCAAAAATCCAAGATACAAATTGTTCACTCGCACCTCTACAAACACATCTCACCACACTTACCTTCTAACCAATCTGGATTCAGGGAGAAAGAATGCACGGAGCTGCAACTTGCTCGACTGGTGCATGAAATATCAGAGGCTCGTGTCTCCGAAAGAACATTACAGCTTGCTTTTTTGTCCTGAGGAAAGCATTTGACCGAGTATGGCATCAGGGCCTGATAGCCAAGCTCAAGCACTACGGTGTCCAGGAAGCAGTACTGCGATGGTTCTCGGCGTACTTGATAGGGCGTAGGCAGCGAGTGCGAGTTGAGGGCATTACATCAGCCTTACGCCCCATCCCGGCAGGAGTGCCTCAGGGTTCAGTCCTGGGACCACTGCTGTTTCTGGTGTACCACATCGACCTGCCTGCCACTTGCGAAAATGCCAGCACCAGGTGCAGCTAGTTTGCCGACAACACAGTCCTCGTCTGTTCCAGCAGCTCCGCCGCACACTGCGAACTGCAACTGCAGAGCAGTGTGTCAGCTGCCGCTGGATGGTTGGAGAGCAGTGTGTCAGCTGCTGCTGGATGGTTGGAGCACTTGTACCTCCTCATCAGCACTGCAAAAAACGGTAGCAAACCAAGCTACCAGTCATGGTGCAAAGGACGCACCACCGACATTAACATAGCTTGTCGCTCTAAGGCCAGAGTGCTCTAACTACGAAAAGTAGAGTACGTTTTTTTACGTACGGTTTTGCTTTTATAAAGTCTGCAACAAGCGTGGATAGTGCTTAGGGAGTCTTGGCAATCTGTTGAAAGTAACATTCTATGGTCGAAGGTTAAGAGGCCGTTTTTACCAAGTCAAGGTTAACTCTGGGCAGTTGATGAGTCAGATGTAATCATGAGCCAATGCGAGTTGTCGTATGGATGTATTTCTCGGTATATGCCTACTCGCTCTCTTCCTGTGTTTTCAGAGCTTTATTCAACAATGAACTAAGTGCTTTACCAGAGGGATTGTTCCCAAACCAACCAGCATTTACAAAGCTGTGAGTTTCACCTTAACAAACTATTTCCACTCCACTCTCTCTAGTTGTCACGAACCCGACATAACTGGGGCGTCTCGGTGCAGCCCCTGCTCAGTAGTTATCGCGTTTGTCCTAGTCTCAGTACCATTGTCTTTCATTACCATTGTCTTTCATTACCATTGTCTTTCATTACCATTGTCTTTCATTACCATTGTCTTTCATTACCATTGTCTTTCATTACCATTGTCTTTCAGTATTATTTTCCAGTTGGGTATCTGAACATAGGAAACAAAATCTGTCCTATTAGCGCTTTCTCTTTCCGTAAAAAGAAAGAAAGAAAAATAACACCTGCGAATCCACGTTGATGAGAGCAGTACGAAATGTATGTACATGTTGCAGTTTGTATTGAACTGCACACTTTGTTATAAACTGAACATTCCAGATCCCGCAAACAACATCACCTGCCAATTTCGTGTGAAATCAGAGAGTTTGAGTTGCACACAGACTTTGTTTTCTCAGGCATACTCTTTCTCTCTCTCTCTCTCTCTCTCTCTCTTGACGATACCAATATTCAAAAGAAAAGTATGATGCCTGATGCAACACGTTTTCCTTGTCAATTTCTCCAATTGGTTGCCACTTTCTTCTCTATACACTGTCTACCAGATGGCTATCGAATAATCAACTTAGCCGAATACCCGCTGGGATATTTCGATCAACACCCAATTTAAAAGTTTTGTAAGTCTTAAGTACCGTATTCATTGGAAATTTGTGTGCAAAACTGTTACAGGTAGACTCAAGCATGTTTCGCTAGGACAGTCTACACAGACCTATGGCCTCCTGTAAGGAGACCATAAGTCTGTGGGGAATGCCATAGGCCGGTGGGGGGGGGGGGGGAGAATGCCCTAGGCTTGTGGGAAGTGCCCTAGAGAAACATGGATGTATGTTTGACAGCTGAAAGATGCTTTTTGAGTTGTGCCTTTCCGTACGGAAAAGGTGTAGAAAAACGAAACGTGGATTTGTGTCGTGAGAGTCATTACTTAACTGTATCTATGTTCTATTGATTGTATGCATGTATCGTTTTCCATTGTCCTATTGATTGTATGCATGTATCGTTTTCCATTGTTCTATTGATTGTATGCATGTATCGTTCTCCATTGTTCTATTAATTGTATGCATGTATCGTTTTCCATTTTTGTATTGATAGTACTTCCTCTGTTAAGGAAAACTTCGTTGCGTTTTTACAGTTCGGTACAGGGAGTCGTACGACTCCCTGGTTCAGTCCAAATCATTCTATGGCTACGAAAACGCTTTGCAAAGTGGAAAACAATGCAGGATATGAAAGATAATTATTTGCAGATATCACACAGCTCGTTTCAAAGCAGTCCAGCTTCACTCTTCGTCGGAATCTGATGACGACTCACTCCCTGATGACATCGAGTCTGCATCTTTGCTGCCTGTTGCCGCCAGCGCTGCCAGCATTTGTTCCGCAGCCTTTACAAGTTTCCCAGACACGATAATTTTGATCGTGGAGATCGCCAAGTTCTTCGCTCGAACCGTGAGCGTGACGTAACGACCAGCAGTGCCTGAGCGCTGGCCGGCTCCTGGACACTTCTTCGAGCCACGAGGTCTTTCAAACTGGTTCTAATTTTCGCACTTTGGTGCCATGTGCGCGCGCCTGGGGTTGTGTTCTGGTGACATCCTGTCAAGAAACAGTTCTGCTTCGCCGATTTTTCAAAGGACTCCACGCTTTTCGGAGGTTCAAAAGCCTGTCAGAACAATGGACGACAACTCAGCTACCCTGTGTAGGGAAAAGATCACTGACATGTATGTCTAATGCCGACAGAAATATCATGACAAGAACACTAAAAACGCAACGAAGTTTTGCTTATCGGAGGAAGTATGCATGTATCGTTTTCCATTGTTCTATTGATTGTATGCATGTATCGTTTTCCATTGTTCTATTGATTGTATGCATGTATCGTTTTCCATTGTTCTATTGATTGTATGCATGTATCGTTTTCCATTGTTCTATTGATTGTATGCATGTATCGTTTTCCATTGTTCTATTGGCTGTATGCATGTATCGTTTTCCATTGTTCTATTGATTGTATGCATGTATCGTTCTTCACTGTTGTATTGATTGTATGCATGTATCGTTCTTCACTGTTGTATTGATTGTATGCATGTATCGTTCTTCACTGCTGTATTGATTGTATGCATGTATCGTTTTCCATTGTTCTATTGATTGTATGCATGTATCGTTTTCCATTGTTCTATTGATTGTATGCATGTATCGTTTTCCATTGTTCTATTGATTGTATGCATGTATCGTTTTCCATTGTTCTATTGATTGTATGCATGTATCGTTTTCCATTGTTCTATTGGCTGTATGCATGTATCGTTTTCCATTGTTCTATTGATTGTATGCATGTATCGTTCTTCACTGTTGTATTGATTGTATGCATGTATCGTTCTTCACTGTTGTATTGATTGTATGCATGTATCGTTCTTCACTGCTGTATTGATTGTATGCATGTATCGTTTTCTATTGTTGTATTGATTGTATGCATGTATGACGTATCATCATGCAAGTGCAAATTCTGCTCTCGAAATCATCGTCATACCGCGAATATTGTTGCTGAATTCGAATGGGAATGTTGTCATGCCAAACTTCCGTATTGATAAATGTTTGGAGTGGAAGTAAACTGTCAGCGCCTTCTAGGTTCCGTCTCGTCACATAGCTAAGATGGTTAGAGCATTGCTAATGACAAGAAAGGTCCGAGCTCGCGTCCTGTTGGGGTTGGCATTTTTTCCACTTTTCAGGCAGTTCACTTCCCCGAGTGGTGCTTTGAATTTGTGTGCATGTACCTGTGAACACAATGGGGAAGCAGCACCTGTCCACCTGTCCACCTGTCCACCTGTCCACCTGTCCACCTGTCCACCTGGTTATCAATAAAGCAATTCCACCTTCACTACATCTGCTCTCTGGCCGACCTCATGACACCAGCAATATGACTCCAATGTGTAGATACTGACGAATAGTTTTTCCTCTATACAGCAGCGCTGTTTCGACCACGGTAGGTCTCATCAAGGAAGATTGAGAATAGTGAATGGCTAGAATTAATTTGAAGTAGAAAGGAAAGGGACATATGGATACGAGTTTATGGCTCAACAACCGAGTTTCAAATTAATTTGAAGACACGGTTTTATACATATCATCATCATCATCATCATCATCATCATCATCATTTGAACAGCCTCTTGTACGGGCAAGCAAAACGCAATGCATCAAAATTCAATTAGAATGAAAAAAGAGAGGAAAATGAACACAAAGTGTACTGGAACTCGATATAAAAGAGAACGCAAAGTGCAGTTGAACACAGTGAGCATGGGCCTACCAATCAGAGAAGACCTCATAGAGAAAATGACCAAAACCCAAACAAACAAGAACAATAAAATATGGAATAAAAGAACAAACATAAAAAACTTAAGACACGCACACATCAACGTGCTCTAAGGGTATGGCAGCTTGTTAAAAAGCTGTGGCGCTGGCGCTTGTATGATGCCCGCGAACCACGTACGCAAGTAATACACCAGCAGAGCAAACACAGCGACAATACAGATCGAAGTTGTCCCATAACTACAGAATAATGTAACTCAGGATTTTTCTGAACAACAAGTGATACCAAATTTTTCCAAAAAACGAGACCCCTCTGGCCCACACATGCCTGATGTTGAAAAAAACTAATTGTGTAAATGATGCTCTCTCTACAATATTTACACGGGCCTGTTCATAGGTCTTCAGCTGACGCATGACGTCTGTACGCGACAGCAGGCTTGCCTGATGCATGACGTCTGTGCGCGACAGCAGGCTTGCCTGATGCATGACGTCTGTACGCGACAGCAGGCTTGCCTTCGGGTGCGTTACTCGTACATCAAAAAAGGCATCCTGCTGCCGGGTCCAGGGCTGTGCTGTGTGGCACGGAGATGGTAATGCCACCGGCCAGCCAGACCCTTGGTTAACACCACGTATGCCGCATGTGGCTAGTTCCTCGCCAGTCCAGCCAGAGACTTGAGTTCCTGTGCCCAGCAGCGCGACTTTGCGGATATACATTCTTCCGTATACCTGGCCAATCCCAGCACACCGCCCAAGTAACGGGCTCCTTCGGCTGATATAGTCACCCCGGTACCGTCAAACACCTCTCTCGCTCGATCGAGGTGCTCTGGCTTCGTAACGAGGATGGTCTTGGCTGCATTGGCGTGGTAACCATATCTGCGGCCAGCCTGTTCGACAGTATCCCAGTACTGTGGGAGCTGCAGGAGCCTATCCGCCGCCGCATCGTCATCTGCATACCAGGACTGGACGACCGACGGGCAAGCCACTGCTAGGTGCTTCACCAGAGGTGCTGTGGCAACAACATACACTACCATTGCCAATGGGTCCCCTTGGCATGTCCCTTCCTGTGACAATATCTTACCGCCACCAGCAACGAAAAGGCGAATTGGGGAGCTGTAGGTGTTGACAAATACTTTTGCCTAGAGCGGGGCAAATGTGGGGAACGTTATGGAGTGCGGCCTGATGATTCAGCGAGTTGAACGCTTTTGATGCGTCGACCAACAATACTCCTTCCGTATTTGGTCCAGCGAACATGGACACGCGTGACGTTCTAGAACGTCACGAATCAGTACGGGACTACATCGATTCCGCACTTCTTCCGTGGCGTGGCGTCGAGCTGTACCGATGCACAGAGGAGCTGTACCGATGCACAGAGGAGCTGTACCGATGCACAGAGGAGCTGTACCGATGCACAGAGGAGCTGTACCGATGCACAGAGGAGCTGTACCGATGCACAGAGGAGCTGTACCGATGCACAGAGGAGCTGTACCGATGCACAGAGGAGCTGTACCGATGCACAGAGGAGCTGTACCGATGCACAGAGGAGCTGTACCGATGCACAGAGGAGCTGTACCGATGCACAGAGTAGCTGTACCGATGCACAGAGGAGCTGTACCGATGCACAGAGGAGCTGTACCGATGCACAGAGGAGCTGTACCGATGCACAGAGGAGCTGTACCGATGCACAGAGGAGCTGTACCGATGCACAGAGGAGCTGTACCGATGCACAGAGGAGCTGTACCGATGCACAGAGGAGCTGTACCGATGCACAGAGGAGCTGTACCGATGCACAGAGGAGCTGTACCGATGCACAGAGGAGCTGTACCGATGCACAGAGGAGCTGTACCGATGCACAGAGGAGCTGTACCGATGCACAGAGGAGCTGTACCGATGCACAGAGGAGCTGTACCGATGCACAGAGGAGCTGTACCGATGCACAGAGTAGCTGTACCGATGCACAGAGGAGCTGTACCGATGCACAGAGGAGCTGTACCGATGCACAGAGGAGCTGTACCGATGCACAGAGGAGCTGTACCGATGCACAGAGGAGCTGTACCGATGCACAGAGGAGCTGTACCGATGCACAGAGTAGCTGTACCGATGCACAGAGGAGCTGTACCGATGCACAGAGGAGCTGTACCGATGCACAGAGGAGCTGTACCGATGCACAGAGGAGCTGTACCGATGCACAGAGGAGCTGTACCGATGCACAGAGGACTCCTAGGATCTATGTGCACAGTAAATAAATGCGAGTCGCTCCGTAAGTTTGAACTGCAGTTACATGCACATGCGTGTGCATGCATTTCAAAAATTTAATATCAAATTTAAAATTTAATATCAAATTCGCGTATAACTACCTTTCTGAAAACGATCATAACTTTTGTAATCTTTTGTTGTATTTCCAAAACAAAAACAGTTCTGTGCTCAGGATACATGAAAGAATCGTTTGAAATCAAGTTTGCTTACATAGAGTGAAATTAAAAATTTCCTGCGTGGCAGAGGTTTTCAATTGGCCCGGGCTCAGAAGGTTAAGTGTACTGGGGACATCATTGATACTGGGGACATCATTGATACTGGAGAGATCATTGATACTGGGGACATCATTCATACTGGAGATATTATTGATACTTGCGCAACAGATTCTAGCACACTGAAGTGCAAGAAGACCCTGTGAACACTATAACACTATTCCTCCTCAATATTCCTCCTCAATATTCCTGCTCTTTCCGTGTTCAGGGATGTTCGGCACAATAGACTTGTTGAGCTGCCAGCCGGACTGTTTCAAAATCAAAGAAATTTGGAACACCTGTAAGTTTTATCTATCAGGTTCGGCCTCATTTCCTCTGTGCTGCGCTGATGAGTTCACAAAGAACGAAACAGCATGCTGTCCGCAGATTGAGTAAGTTTTATCTACAATTTTTTGTAAAACCTTTAAATCCCACATATCAGCCCAGATCATTGCCCAGATCAGGGTAAACCTTCGCTTGTGTTCGATATCAAATTAAAAATGACGTTGAAGTCGAGCGGAAGAAAAGTCGACCTAACAACTTCTCATCACTTTCCTGTCTTTCTTGTCGCTCGTCATTCCTACCGCCTGAGCATTGTCAGTGAAGCCAATGAACTACTTGGGCAAGCAAGTGTCTGAGTACACCCCAAATACTACAATAACTATTCTTCCTTGTTAGTCAGCTGAGTGATGGCATGGCTGAACAGGATCAGACACATACCAATGCTCATACACGTATCTTACACAGATATGCCACTTTCAACATTTGTACAGAGATGCCACTTTCAACATTTGTACAGAGATGCCACTTTCAACATTTGTACAGAGATGCCACTTTCAACATTTGTACAGAGATGCCACTTTCATCATTTGTACAGAGATGTAGTGTACCACTTATGTAGAGCTCTCCAGGCACAAATATCACCAGGGATGCAAATGTACAGATACGCTCCGTTTCCAGCGCGACAAACACCTCGTGAACACCAGATAGCAGCGCGAGTCAGTGTCGCTCATGGAGGTGCTGAACAAGCGCTGAGGAGTTGATGGTTCGATGGACTTCTCGTGCGCTCTGGATGGTAGTCGTGAGTCAGCCAAGTGAGAATTCAAGTCGTCAGGAAAACCGTGAGCTCCCATGTAGGGAGCAACACACAATTTCCCAAGTGTCGCCGAAGTCACACCAGCCTCTTCTTTGTAGTGATAGTGACTGCGTTGTTCTTACACCACCTAGCTGTCATATGTTGCATTCTACACATCACTGCATGTGTCGTACTCACACCTTCATGATGTGCTACATTCGCACTGCTGTATGTTATAGTCTCTTGTCATTCCAGTAATCATTACATTCTGGCTAGCTCACTACACTGGCGCAGTGAACAGCTCAAGCAACTTGACGCTATGGCAAAGGGACGACCTCCGAAAGAATTTTCTCCTGGCTATGGTGGAGATATGGGCGCAGACTTCAATCTCTGGCTAGAAGATGTCGATGATTATATGAAGATCTGCCAAGTGACGGACCCAGGAGACAAGAAGTGCCTTTTCTTGAATCTCGCCGGTCTCAATGTCAGGAGGATCGTCAAAGGTTTAGTCGTTCCCGTTCCAGACGATGCAACTGACGATAACCCGGGAGACACTTACAAAGCCCTCACTGAGTCACTTCATTGCCATTTTCGACCGTCCATCAATGCGACGTCAGAGCGGCACAAGTTTCGTCAGATTAGGCAGCTGCCTGACGAATCGGTTTCAACCTTCATGAGTCGGCTGAGGGAGAAAGTGGAACTGTGTAGTTTCGCATCGACAGATGTTGACACGGTAGTCAATACTCAAGTCCGCAACCAGTTAATTGCTGGATTGAGGTCGCAAGACTCGAGGCGCGAACTATTGAAGGAGCCTAAGCTGACTTTGGCAGACGCTCTCTCGAAGGCAGTTGCTATGGAAGCATCACTTTTGGACTCCAACCTGTACAACAGTGAACCAGGACCTAGTGTAGCAGCATGTGTGAAGCCAGAGACCACAGCGGCTGTGTCAGGCAGTGAACCCAAGCACCAGCTCAAAAGGAAAATGACGAAAGGTCCTGGCTGCAAGTACTGTGGTCGAAAGCATGCCAATGGAATGCAGTTCTGCCCAGCAGCGCATGTCCGTTGCAACAGCTGCAGGAAAGTTGGCCATTTCGAAGCGGTTTGTCTCTCACGCAAGCCTAACAAAGCCAATGCAGTAGATGCGGAGGAAGACAGTGACACTGCACAAGTGGTGTACGATTCTATTTTCGCGTGCAGCGATAAGGCAGCCAGAGGCCAGTTCACCATGACACTGATGGTGAATGGCAAGCCATGTGAGGGATTGCTTGACACCGGAGCAACACGCACCATTCTCACGGATGATGTGGTGCAGCCTACCCGCTCAAGTGACCGCATACTTCGAGCATACAACGGTGGCGAAGTGAAGACTCTTGGCATGGCGGACGTCGATATTGCTGTAGGAGACAACACCATTCTCTGTGAATGTTTCGTTGTACCGGCTGGCAAGAGTTCTGTATTGTTTGGACAAGATGTCATCTCACAATTGGAACTGCTTGTGAATGCACACATGGCGGATACAGCACGTCTTGTTGAAAATGCTCCAGTTTCTATCACTGTGGACAAGAGCGCTAGACCGGTAGCCCAACCAGCTCGTCGCCCTCCATTTAGCGCCAAAGCCGACATAGAAAAGGAGTTGGCACGCCTGGCTAAAGGCTGACATCATTGAGCCCGTGAAGGAGGCATCGCCTTGGGTCTCGCCTGTTGTGCCTGTCCGTAAGTCTAACGGTACACTCCGGTTATGTGTGGATTATAGACAGCTGAATAAGTCCATCATTAGAGAACGCCATTCTCTCCCAACGGTAGACGAAATAACCAGCGAGTTAGCAGGAGCACAAGTATTCTCAGTGTTGGATGCCGAATCGGGATTCCACCAGCTGTTACTGGAGGAAGAATCACGATCGTTTACAACGTTTCCTTCACACTGTGGATCGTATCGATTCAAGAGACTGCCGTTTGGTATTTCATGCGCCCCCGAAATATTTCAGCGAGTGGTGTCAGATATTCTAGTTGGCCTGCCGGGTGTTGTTGTCTACATAGATGACATATTGATTTTCGGAGGGAATCAAGTTGAGCATGATGCTCGCCTGGCGAGTGTCTTGGAACGCCTGAAGGCAGCAAACCTCAAGCTGAACTGGGCCAAGTGTCACATCGGCAAAGACCAGGTCAAGTACCTGGGCCACACGTTGACCAGAGATGGAGTTCAGCCGGACAGCAGCAAGCTAAGCGCTATCGCCGACATTGCCGCCCCAAAGACTGTAGCGGATGCACACCGCTTCTTGGGTATGGTCACGTACTTAGGAAAGTTTGTTCCTTGCCTGACTGAAGCCACAGAGCCGTTACGCCAGCTGATGAAGCGTGAACCATTCACTGTGAACGATGATCTTCTCAAAGCGTTCTCCACAGCTAAGCAAGCTGTAGTCTCTTCATTGCAAACACTTGCATATTTCCAGCCGGATGTAAACGTACCGACAGCAATCAGCTCTGATGCCTCACCTTCTGGTCTGGGAGCTATTCTGTGGCAGCAAAGCAAGGCTGGACAATGGCTGCCCATTACATGCGCCAGCCGCACGCTCACGGACACAGAGTCCCGATATTCGCAGATGGAGCGCGAGATGCTCGGCATAGTGTTTGCACTGACCCGTTTTCGCCAATATGTTCTGGGTCGTCATGTACAGGTGTACACTGATCACAAACCTCTCATACCGATTGTGCAGAAGGTATTTGACGATGTGCCGCCTCGATTGCAGTGCTGGTTAGTCGCGCTCATGCCGTACGATTACTCCCTCAAGCATGTTCCAGGGAAGGAGCTCTTCTGTACTGATGCACTTTCCAGAGCCCCGGTAGCGTCTACTGATGCTTCTCCAGCCGAATCGCGTTCTCTCCATGAGTATGTTGGCCTAGTTTTGGAAGCCGCTCCAGTAGGCATTGCAGACATTCGTTGTGCTGCACAAGATGATCCAGTAGTGAGCAAAGTGATTCAACGCGGACTGTATGATTCGTGGCTTGACATTTTGCCACCGGAGCACCCCTACTATCTCGTCCGTGATCAGCTGACAGTGGTAGATGGCATCTTAATGTTCAGTGGCAGATTCGTTATTCCTGAAGGTTTACGAACAGCGATCATGACCCTAGCACACGAAGGACATCCTGGACAAGAGGCCTTCCAAGACACCCTGCGCCAGAGAGTCTGGTGGCCAGGAATGACTAAGGATGCAAGCACATACGTGCAACGCTGCTCTGAATGCAGGAGGAGACGTACCAATAATGCGCAAGAGCTCCAACCAACTGAGGTTGTTGGCGTCTGGAGAAAGCTGGCAGTGGACATCGTATCCATTGAGGGGTACTCGATTCTCTCCATAGTCGATTATGGCTCCAGGTACCCTATTCTGAAGATAATGCGCTCGACACCCTCAGCTTCCGTCATCAATGAACTTGATGAGGTATTCTCTGCATTTGGTCTTCCCGAGACTTTAGTTTCGGACAACGGCCCTCAGTTTGTCTCTGGGGAGATGTCTTCATTTCTCAGCCGGCTTACAATTACACATGTACGATCCAGCCCAAGGTATGCCCGCTCGAATGGCATGGTGGAGTGTCTGCATCGAGTGTTAAGGGAGAGACTGTCTGCCACATCTCCCTTTCCAGAGGCGTCTTAACCAAGTGTTGTTGGACATTCGATGTTCGAGGCATAGAATGCTCGGTACATCACCAAGTGAAGCTTTGTTCTCTCGACCACTGCGTACAAGAGTCCTGGCACAACTCCACCCCACCGTTGTGAATCCCCAGCACCAGCTGAAAGCAAAAGCTGAAATGTCTGCACAACACGACTCCCGACGTGGCGTGAGAATGCTTTCTGAGCTTCGGCCCGGCACAAAAGTCACTGTGCAGGACGAGTACTGCGACAAGTCTCAGTCATGGACCGTGGTGAACCAGTTCGGCCGTCAGGTAGGAGTGACCGATGGCTCTCGCTACCTACTGAGGAATAGGCAGCATGTACGAGAGTTTGTTTCACCGCATCGCCCGGACGATTCTCCACCCATGTCGTCAGCGAACCCGTCTTTCAGCCGTCATTAGGTGGACCTTCAGCGAGCGCCAGCACAGGCGGCTCCTCGGATCGGTCAGCCATCAGTGCCGGAACCAGATAGAACCGGAACTGGACAGTCTGCTCGGATTGGTCAGTCTACAGTGCCAGGTGCTGTTTCGGCATGTCTACCGTCTGTGGATCTGCCTCCGGGCTCGCCATGCCACAACATGCCACTCTCTCAACCTTCATCTGCACGTGAAAGCCAGCCTGCTCCGAAGGAACACACTCCAGCTGCTTCCGGCAAGCACTCATTCGTCGATGGTGCAGTCACTCGCTCCGGACGGCTTATCAAATTTACTGAGAAGGCACGGCTCTACGCAGACAGTTTATCCTAAAAGATTATTGCAACAATGCATCATACTCACTCTGAAAGTTCAACTTGACAACTTTTTGTGTTTTTTTGAAGTTGAGTTCCTATCTTCCTCCATTGGGTGCTTTGAAATTCAACACTTCATATTGTGTTCTCTCTTCTTCTTCTTCTTTTTTTTTTAAATTCCTTCTATTGCTTTCCCCGGCACCGGCTTTTTTGTTTGGGAGAAGGAGTGATGTAGTGATAGTGACTGCGTTATTCTTACACCACCTAGCTGTCATATGTTGCATTCTACACATCACTGCATGTGTCGTACTCACACCTTCATGATGTGCTACATTCACACTGCTGTATGTTATAGTTTCTTGTCATTCCAGTAATCATTACATTCTGGCCAGCTCACTACTTCGAAGTACATTCTTCACAATGACATGTTCTTCACTAAGAAATGTATAAAATGACATTAGAGACCCTTAGCCAAAGTACGATAACGCTAACTTTTACGGTACTCACTCCCAGTCGTGACAAAAGACGTTATCGGGTAACGGAAAAACGTTAAACAGCTCAAAATAACAGGCCGACGTTTGTTATGGTAATTCTGCAAAAAATGCAAAACTCGCATTGTTTTCTAACTGACGGGAGATAAAAAGCAAGCGCAGATCGAGATCAAAGTCGAGATTGCTTCTTCTTGTGACATTTAGCTTTTTTTGGCGAGTTTTGCCTTTCAGTTGACAATGTCTGTGTCCTCTGCTTCATGCCTTTCACCCTCCATCCCATCTTGGAAACAAAGGACCGGTTCCGCGGCACACCTGAGGAAGAAATTCATTGGCCTCTCCCAGACGTGCTGGTGCTGAAGAACCCTTACAGTCTTCGGTGCTGCATTTAGGAAAGGTTTTCCAAGGACTTGGGCACAGCGAAAGCTCATTTTCGCCATGCCTTTGCCATTCCAGTGAAAGACGTCGCCAAAGTATTCGTTTGGAACGACAGCAAACTAATCCCTGGTTCAAAATTTTGAATTTCCCGCACTCGTTTCCACCAAAATTCATATCGCCATGGTTGTCACGACTACTTCGTCTGAACTATAACGTACATTGTGCTAAGGGAAAAATCAGCTTGAACGATTTGAAGTACGGAAAGATTTGCAATTACGTTAGCGTTTTTTTTAGCTATCCTCCCCACTTCTGCTCAGTACGCTGGGTCACTGTTCCATGATGGCTAGCCTTGCCACGTCTCCTCAGCACGCTGGGCCACTGTTCCATGATGGCTAGCCTCACCATATCTCCTCAGCACGCTGGACCACTGTTCCATAATGGCTAGCCTCGCCATTTCTCCTCAGCACGCTGGGCCACTGTTCCATGATGGCGAGCCTCGCCACGTCTCCTCAGCACGCTGGGCCACTGTTCCATTATGGCTAGCCTCGCCACGTCTCCTCAGCACGCTGGGCCACTGGTCCATGATGGCTAGCCTCACCACGTCTCCTCAGCACGCTGGGCCACTTTTCCATGATGGCTAGCCTCGCCACGTCTCCTCAGCACGCTGGGCCACTGTTTCATGATGGCTAGCCTCGCCACGTCTCCTCAGCACACTGGGCCACTGTTCCATGATGGCTAACCTCGCCACGTCTCCTCAGCACACTGGGCCACTGTTCCATGATGGCTAGCCTCGCCACGTCTCCTCAGCACGCTGGGCCACTGTTTCATGATGGCTAGCCTCGCCACGTCTCCTCAGCACACTGGGCCACTGTTCCATGATGGCTAGCCTCGCCACGTCTCCTCAGCACACTGGGCCACTGCTCCATGATGGCTAGCCTCACCACGTCTCCTCAGCACACTGGGCTACTGTTCCATGATGGCTAGCCTCGCCACGTCTCCTCAGCACGCTGGGCCACAGTTTCATGATGGCTAGCCTCGCCACGTCTCCTCAGCACACTGGGCCACTGTTCCATGATGGCTAGCCTCGCCACGTCTCCTCAGCACACTG